GTCATCAAATTTGGCTTGACGAAATAACTGGTGAATGCGAACTATTTGCTGATCGGTTAGAGATTTAACGGCCATTTTTGGACTAAATTCTGGACCCATTTCTCCTAAAGAGTGAGCAAAACAATCACAATACAGCTCAGTTTAAGCATCTAAAGATTAACCAATATCGACCAAGGAACATATAAGAATATTTCATATTTTATCAATCTATCAACACTTGAAACAACTTCAACACCAACCACATTTTAACTAATCCTAGTTCAATATAGAAAAAGTTGCAGCACCAACCAAATAGAAACAAGCTACTATTGACCACCTCATAGAATATTAATCCACAATAGCAGAAGTACTGTTCAGTAATAACTCCTGCCCTTCAGAAAAATGCCAACCCTCATTGAATCAACGTAATCATAAATGTTCCCAATCTCTACTAAAAAATGATTACATATCAGATATACAAGAAACTCAAAGTGATAGAACCAATGCCTTGTTAACATTTATTTTGTAAGATACCTTAGTGCATCATTTTGACAACTCTGTAACTAGTAAAAAGAAATAGAAAGGGTAAAAAATGCAGTTGACCTCAACAAGATAAGAAATAACACAAAGACATTCTTACTAGAATGGGGTAAAAAGGTAAAAGAAAGAACTCTCAGAGGAATGAAAAGATAATAACAAAAAACAATTCCCAAGCTAGATCTCAACAAGATAAGAAATGCCATTATGACATTCTCACTAGAATGTGGTAAAGAGGTAAAAGGATAAACTCTCAGAGGAATGAAAAGATAAGAAAAGCATTCCCAAACTATATCTCCAAAAATTTCTTACCAATTAATCTCTCAGCAAGAGGTTTCCCAATATTAACAAATTCATGCTGAAGAAATTGCAAAAGGTTTGGCTTTGAAGTTTCAGCAATAAGACGCTTGATTAGTAGTATGTCAACAGATGAAGGATGGTGCTTTGTCTCAACAGGGACTGGAGGCACTGCATCTGTTCTCCGTGCAAACTTTATAGTGATATTTTTACTGCATAAGGAAAACATAAAAAATTTAAACACAGGTGAGCAAAATTATGTGCTTGTGAAGACTGATTGAGATAGAGAGAGAGCATACTCAGGGGTGTCCGATACAAACTTAAACAGAAATTGAGCATAGGGGGTGATAACAGCCATTTGTCTCATATAATGCAATATTTTGGACTGCAAATACAAACAGAATGATCATTTAGCTAATGAAACAAAGGAGTACCAACTGCTACTTTCAGTCATCAAGAAACATTAAAATGCAGAGGCATCTATGAAACTCAAATAAAATAATAAGCAGCTGCTGCATACACGGTATGTTGTCCAATTTCCCTCGATGACCACTTGAATTTCTGCTCCATGCCATTTATCCTTGTTGTCACGTTTTTCATGCAAATGAATGTGAGGAATGTTCCTGAAATTAAAAATGCCATTATGGTACAACCATTCACCAACGACAAGAACTACTTACCGTCAAATAAATTGTGGGTTTTCAAACAAACTATAACCCTCAGAATAGATACAGAGACAAGAATTCAGAGTTTATACATCTTCATGAAGAAAAAATATCCTAGAGTGAAAAACGCAGAGATAAATCAAATGAATGTTTGTGGTTTATATATATCAAAGAAACATTTGTGTTATTGAGATAATTAAAATAAACCTTGCATTTAGATCATACCTATGAATGTCAATATCCAACCTACAGAATGAGATATAATTTTGACCCCTCATTGATGATGAGATGTCAATTGGCAGGCCGGTACTCATTTTGGACCAAATTAAGGCCTGCATGAAAGTAACTTCCACAAATTCAATATGTACCAAACCACAATAGTCAGATAGAGAAGTAGGAGCCAAATTACATAAGCTATTCTCTTAACAGCTTTGTTCAATATCATATGCGGGGAAATTTAAATTGAATTGCTTTGAGTTATCATGTCCTATGGGCATCCCACTGCTTGTTCCAGACATTGAATGGTTTCAAAGAGGACAATATTGGCACAATAATGATTGATTTAAAATTGTGAAATGAGAGGATTCAGTAAAATCCAAAAGGCATGCAGCATTTTATTGAAGGGAGTATTCAAATTAATACACTGACACCTAAGGTGCAAGATAAATCACAACTAAACACAAGCAACCTACAGTACAACCAGCATTAAAAAAGTCAAGCGAATATAATGAACATGTTATGCATATATCTATGTCAAATTAAATACTGAAATTAAAGTAAGGAACACATGTCAGAAGTATAACCATTTTTGCACCAAGACCAAACTTCCCACGTGTCTGTTTCAAGCCATATTTCGTGCCAGACAGAACTGCATAAATGAGCATTCAGGCAGGGATTAAAATGGAGGTGGAAAAAATTATCTACAATATGAAAAACAATCAAACTAGAGCCAATCAGGAACTTAATATCATAAGTAATTTGAACCTCGACCAAACATGTTTGGGATGTCATCATGTGGCATGCCTCTTCCATTGTCCTGCATTTCAAATCAACACCAGTCAAGAGATTTAGGCCTAAGGGAAAAATTTAGAACAAATCAAAGAACTAAAAAAGGAAAAATCCAATATGGTAAGCAGGGTTGAGATGGTGGTAATTATACCTTGCATGTCACCCTGTAAAAAGAAGCTTCACCTCGACCCTTGGCACCCTTGGAAACTGTATGTTCCTTGACTTTCTTCCCCAGGGAAGCATTCTTTGCTTGTATTTCTTGAGCTCGAGCTTCTTTTGCCAATCTTTTCTGAACGAGTGAAAACAAATTGGAGCAGGAGAGTGTGAGATGACTAACAAACAGCTAAGAGAAGAGTTTTTATATTCCTTACTACAACAAATTGTGTGCATAAAAAGCAGTTGAAAGAAAATCTAACCACTTCAACACATCAAGTGAACTTAACACATAAAACTCCAAAACATATGCAAAATCTGAAGTACCCTACGCTCTACATAGTTCAATCAGGAAGTTAAAAACAAAAGAGAAAGCATATTAGAAGGTGCAGATACCTCACGGGCCTTAGCTGTCTCATAATCATCATATAATGCTTCATCAATACGTTCTCTATCAACAAGCCCAATCATGGAATTGAACTTGCTTTTGATGATCTCTTCTCTGCAACAGCAATGTGGACTTAGGCAGAAAATAAATAAACATATATTCACAAATAAAATGATAGCTGAAAGCATTTTCCAATGTATTTCCAGCAAAGACCAGAAGCTTACATTGTTATTTCTATCACCGGAAGCTCAGATATTGACTCTGCTGAATCTAGAGCGTTTTCAACAAATTCTCGAACAGTCGTGTATAGACATTTCCCAGGCTGAAATTCAAACATAAGTAAATCATACCTTATATAAAATCTTTAATGAAATCACTTAAAAAAATTGCAATGAGCTTCCATGATCTGTACTTAAATTTATAATATAATAATTGCAAAATTACAAAAATCTTTTACACTGAATCTGATTTTACCAATCAAAAAGTTATATAATGAAATGCATCTTTAATTTTTTTTTCTTCAATATTTTCAAGAGCTACTTTCGACTAATTACAATTTCAGGTAAACTAACATAATAACAAAAGAAAATTAAATTGCAGAAAGAAAAAAAGAAGAGAAAAACGTAACTGACATTATCAAATCCAGCAATGTTCTTGTTCTCGGCAAAGAATTCGGCAGGAGACTCTGCATAATCCACACGATTTTTTTAAAAGGAAAAAAGCAAATAATCTCAGTATTGATCCATCTATGTACACATACACGCATGCACATATTTTTGGTAAATCGGCACATACTTTGCTTGAGAATGCTTTCTTTAGCTTTTTTGGGAGTTTTTGATTTGCCTTTCTTTGTTTCAATTGGACTTTCACTTTCCATTTGAAATTCTCGAAGAAAAAAATGAAAAAAAAAATAAGTTAACAAAAAATCATGATAAAATTTTCAGAAACCAAAAATAATAATAGCAGAATCAAGGCAACAGTAGGGAATTTGAGAAATGTTCGAGCAAAGAAGACGAGGGAAAGCTAGGGTTAGTAAAGCAAACTGTGATACCGTACGGTCATCTGTATAATAAATTATTGTGCGCGCCATTTATCCGTTTCATACTGTCCCGCCAAAGATTGTGTGTTTTGTTTTTCCGCGAAGTTTAGGCTAGGCGCTGCTGATTGCTAATGGGATCTCGGTATTTGGAATTAGAATTGTAGTTGAGACTGGATTTTTATGCGAAATGTGAATTAAAAAAAGTATTTGAAATTATTTCAATTTATTTAAATTCATATTATTATAATTTAATGTGAATTCTGAAATAAAATAAATTTTAAATAATATTGTATGAAATTATTTTAATTTTTTAAAATTCATATCATAAAGGATGTTGTGACCAGGATGAATCATTAGAAGAATGTTGATGAAACCCTCTTTAATAACCTTCTAAATATGATTACGAATTTGATCGATTTCGAAATTAATAAAACTATAGTTGTCTAACGCTAAGTGATGTATTTAAAAAAAATTCAATGTTATCATTTTTTTCTATTTACGCTTTAAATTGTCTTTTAACAATTAAAATCTTAACGTTTCAATTTTTTCAAATGAATTCTTTTTAAATTATCACTGACAATCAATATTTTTGATAACGTGATATTTTTAAGGACATAACATAACGAGATAAAATTGAGATTTTTGGGGTGCTAAAAACGCATTTTTATTGTTCAGAATATATTTATGATATTAAAAATAAATGTCAAAAAATAGTTTATAATTAAATCTCCCATTCCATATTTTCACTCCAATAAGGTAAGGAAACCATCCCTCATTTAAGGGCATTTTTTTAAATAAAAAAAATACCATGTTCAAGTTCAAAATACATTGCAATCATATTTTATCAAAGAAATCCCCATTAAACAAGAACGCATAAAACTGGTTAAAGTCACCTGAAAGTAAATAAATATTAACAGAGCTCGAACTCAAAAAACTAATTCCATGAATGCTGCACCACCTAGGATGATGATAATAGACAGTACAGTCTGTAGTAAATAGAATATCTATGAGCTAGGATGACGATAAGAGACATTACAGTCTTTTGTAAATAGAATATCTTACAATCTGGCCATAGTTAGCATGAATGGGACATATTTCGGATACGAAAGAAGTACATCCCAAACCTAGAATAGATGAAAATGAGCTTTAATAAGCAAAATGGAGAAACAAAAGTTTGTGAATAGGCTTAGCATTGGCTTACCATGTCAATAAATGCAAATGCCTATCATCTTCTTAATCTTAAGGGCATTTTCTTTGTATATATGAAGTTCCATGTTCTTCATACCTGTAAGATGAATGCACTTAAAATTAAGTAATTTACAATAACTTACTATATGATTACTTCTACTGATGTCGGTAACATCGAGATTGCAATATGAAAAGTTAAACATGATGCTTACTCGGAATTCGAGAACCACATTTGCTGGAATGAACCAAGAGATGCCAAGATACTCCCTCCTATCCAAACACTGTTTCATTCATGTTAACAGAATTTAGTAAGAGCAAGAAAAAAACAAAAATTCTTACTGAAAATTTAAACAAGCTTATGCTAAAATAGCAAATAGAAAAGGTAATAAGTTCTTATAATCAATAGAAGGTAATTACTATGGTTTTTAATCATTCATCTTATATATTCATGAATTCTATATTTTTTACTCTTGGAACTTTCTGTTCACTATAAATCCTCGAAGCTTGGGCAAACATCTTAGTAATAGCTCCTCCTCCAGATATTTCAGCTTTTTCAATTACGTAGTCAGCTGTACTTGAACCTCCTTGTTAGTTGTCTCTTATTTCAATGATTTGCTATATCTCTTGCAAAGGAAATGGTGCATGCATTCACATAAGACCTTTTTGGCTTCTTGATCATCTCCACTCAACATGAACCATAAAAATGGAATCTCATTCATCTTCCTACCGATAAGACCTTACAACTGCAAGTTGGTTTCTAAGATACAATCATGTTTATGAACATATCAAGTGCCTAAAAGTGGTTACTGGTTCTTGCATTACTAGGGAGTACATGATCAACAACAAGGTACAAGTCCAAAAAATTATATAACAAGGGGGACACATGGAACTTGTATCATATACTTGCTGATGAGATTCAACAATACTACTTTAACCAAAAACAAAACAGATAAAATAAATTGGGTAGAACCCAAAAAAAAAAATTAAACCACAACAAACTTTTTTTTTGAAAGGTAAACAGTTTTATTAATATCAAAGAAAGACTTGCATTGTTAGGGGCCCTCATTAAAAAACCTCCCTAAACCTAAATGGAGGAAAAAGAGTACACCCTAGACAATGACAAAATAGCAACACTTAGCCTCCTTATAAAATCATAAATAGAGTACAACCTGAATCTTCTTTCTGTTGCATTTCCACTCGCCAATAACTCTAGCAGCATGAGGAGATTCCTTCATATAGACAGACAATGATAGTGTTAATTTGTTACCAAAATTTTTATTCTACCAACATGCAGAATTATGACAGAAACTGTGGTGATATGAAATCATGTTCTCAAGGATTATGTCAAAACATCAACAACTGCTAAAACATGAAATCAAGCTTTAGGATCATAAATAGAGTAAAAAAACACTTGTGCAGGAATGGAAAACAAAAAAGAATACCTCTAGCAAGTCTTTCTCAAGTCGTTCTTTCAATTGTTGCATTGATGCTGTGCCACCAGCAAGCTGCAATATAAAGGAATAACAGAAGTGATAATATCAGTTATGCAAAAAGATCTGACCTAAAAGATCATCCATGTTTATCAATTAAATTATTAATACACATTTCATCCAGTCAAATAAGCTACTTGTTTTGGAATATGATATTCAAAAGAGAAACATGAGATGAAAAAATTTATCAGGACACTGGAGTACGGGCTTGCTTGGGTGTGATTGTCTTACCAATATACTGCCAAACAATTCTTTCCGGATGTCCACATCACATCTATTGATGCTTTCTATGACCTGCAAAAAATTGAAAAAATGCTTAATTAAATAATCCTTGTAAAAATACAATGTCCATTGAAAGGAGTAAAAAGAGGTTGATATTAAAGGCAGAATGCATGAAGTAAATTAGCATACCATTTGTGGCAAACCACGAGCAGGTGAATAAATCTCAGTAAAATTGTCCATTCCAGGAATCGTCTAGTAACAAACAGGAAATCAGAAAAAATATCAACATACACACTAACTTACTAATGGAAGAATATACTCTAGTTATGCATGGAAAATAATAAATAAACTACAAAAAAAAAACTTTAAATTGATTCTTCATATTCATTTTATCAACAAGAATTACAGGTCAGCCAAGAAACCAAAAGTAACCGATTGAAAGAAGCAATGAATTCAGAGACGGATGATATCAACAAATTAATTAAGAAAATTCCAAATCCAGCAGCAATTCCAGGAATACCATTCCTTAAGGTAATAATCAAACTTATTCCCAACGGTCTATAAATGCCAGAGGAATAAGAATGCTAGACCAACCAAGTTAAGGCAAGACTCCTTACATATTTCATTAAGACAAACCTAAGAACTAAGGATCATTTCATACCAATCTTATACAACAGAAAAAGTTGCAATTTTAAAACCATGCACATTAGATAAATCCAGAATAAGCACTTCACAAATAGACAAGATAAGAGGTCCTATCATTGTTATAAAAAAAAGTGCACAATGCATATATATTTAGGACAAAAAGCTGCAGACTGAATACACGCTCAAAAGAACATCAATTGACTATAAACATGCTGATGAAGCATGTTGGAAATAAGTGCTTATGGATTAAGCTCCTTAAGATTTTATTTTTGTTAATTTACTACATTTTAGGAGTTTATTTGTAAAAAGCTAGATATAAGCTTTCTTTTCTTTATGTTGGCTATTTTGCATTCTTTAGTGTTACAATTATTTTCTAAGTATTAGACCTTTAGAGTTACACTGGTATTTGACATGGAAACAAGGATTTAACGTTCAATATCTGGCAGCTTTAAATCATGAAAATTTTGATGGAGTTTTGATTTCTTTCACCTAGGATCATTTTGCTTTCCACTCCTGATTGTTCTATTTCTTTCCGAAACCCTCTTTTCCCCAAATTTCTTCTATCTCTTTTTTTTCTTCTCATATCACTGTTTCACACTTTTTCCCTTCTAGTCCAACAACACGTGCTAATGTCCCCAACAGAACTTGGATAAAAAAAATTAACAAAAAAATGTAACTGCAAGTGCACAAAAAGCATGAAAGAAAATGAAATCAGGATCCCCAAATTTTGAAGACCACCTACCTGAGCCAAAGATGGGTTAAACAGAATATCAGGGATCTTGAATCTATCAGCACCAATTTCAATTGTCCTGAATTAAAATAAAAGAAAATGCAGGATCAATTAATATAAGTAATAATAGAAACAGAAATCCAAGGACTATTTTGTCATAGCTAAACAGGATTAGACAATCCTGTTGATACTACAAGTTGTATGGTGAATGCAAAGGGTTCAAAAAAAGCACAAACATTGTTTATACTTTATAGTTCAACTCAAGGATGATAGCAAACAGAACAAAAGCAACCTAATTATGACAACAAAACGGTTCTAATAAACTAATAAGGAACTCACTGGCCATCGGGAAGCTCATATGAGGTCATTGGGATATTTGAATATGAACTTTCTGCAAAGGAAAAGGCAGCATACAGCTGTATAATCAAATCAATAATATCATTCGAAAGAGATTTTTTAAAAAGCATAATGCCATAAATATCAATCCAGCTACAGCAGACAAGAATATTTGAGATATTATTGAAGGCAGCTTCCATGACTATGAACATACATAAAATACAAACATAAAATAGGAATAAAAGGATGAAGTGGCATGACTTCATGATAAAAGAAGATGGAAAACGAATACAAACCATCATATGGAGTATCTGGAGCTCAACAGACACATTCCTTGATATCACTTGCGATCACTCTCTGTTGTAAGAAAATATAAAAAGGTATTAAAGGAACGAACTTGTCAATTTGGAAAGGGGTAACAATGATTAAAAACAAACCTGGGAATAAAGCTTGTAGGATTCTGTTGTGTGTGGCAAATCAACATCTACAGTCTAAGATTCTCAAAACAAAAGCAAAGAGAATTGTCAGAAAGCAATGTAGGTTATTTACTAGAAATTAATATGAAAAAGAAAAAGTGAAACAGCAACTGGAGAAAATTTCCGTCAGAGTACGTTGCAGTTTCAAGAAAACTATTTTTACTTTGGAAAATCAATTAATATAAGAACAAGACAAGCATCATTCTCTACCATATGGCAATGCTTTGAAGTTCTTTTGCCTTCTCTTTCTATAGCGTATATTTAAATAAGGGATTTTCCCCCATACCATTAGAAAAGAAGAGGAAGGGAACTTTTGTCAGTGTTTAATTTCTTTAAATATCACTCAGTGACTGTTAATATTCAAATCGCTGAAACATCACAGGAAGCAAGGAGTGATGCCATCTCCCACTTGCCACATTTGAGCAGCATTAAGGATTTCAAAACAAGTCTTGAAACTGATCATAAACCTTAATGGGTTTTTGTGCACCAGTGTTGTCAAAGAAAAAAGTCGAATAGTTTTTTGTTTAATTTCATTAGGACTGCCAGTGTTGTCAAAGAAGTTAAACTTAGGATGACATGTATGCATGAAATGCAAGAAGCAAAAGCAATTAATTGCATAAAACTTAAATGGGTTCCAGTGATATTCTAAAATACCTGGAACACCCCTGGTTGTATTTCTTTTCTCTTAAAAGAGTACCTTGGTTTTATCTACAAACATCAGGATAAAAACAGTTGAAATTGAAGCAATGAATGATACATGAATTCTCACATTATGCCATCACTTACCACGATGCCTTTGCTTTCCAAGCTTTTCATCAAGCAATCGGTAAGAAATTCACCTCCAATAGGAGAAGAAGACACTGCCTGTTTATTGCAAACAAAAAAGGTAACAGGGGAAAGGTAAAAACAAAAAAGACAGATCATCGGACTTGTAAAGGCTAGTAAGAATTAAAAAAAGTAATAAATCCAATGCTTAAAGATCTCATAGAAATAGAATTTCATCCAGCAGGAAGTTCATTTTCAGGATAAAAAAATTAAGAACATTGCAGAATTTT